TTCCTAATATCTAACGTAAACTTCCCTTGCTGCAACTTGAGACAACTGCTCCTTGTTCTGTCATCTGCCGCCAGTGAGAACAGTTCAGCTCCATCCTCTTTGGAACCACTCATCAGGTAGTTGAAGGCTGCTATCAACCCCCACAACTCAGTTTTCTCTTCTGCAGACTAAATAAGCCCAGTTCCTTCAGCTTCTCCTTATATGTCATGTGTTGCAGGCCCCTAACCATTTTGCCCTCCGCTGGACTCTCTCCAACTTGTCTACGTCCTTTCTGTAGGGGGGAGCCCAAAATGTGGCCTCACCAGTGCTGAATAGAGGGGAATAATCACTTCCCTTGACCTGCTGGCAACACTCCTACTAATGCAGCCCAGTAGCCATTAGCCTTCTTGGAGACAAGGGCACACTGCTGGCTTCTATTCAGCTTATTGTTCACTGTAACCTCCAGGTCCTTTTCTGCAGAGCTGCTGCCCAGCCAGCCAGCCCCCAGCCTGTACTGGTGCATGGGATTGTTCCTCCTAAGTGCCAGACTTTGCACTTGTCCTTGTTGAACCTCGTGAGATTCCTTTTGGCCCAATCCTCCAATTTGTCTAGGTCACTCTGAATCCTAGCCCTACTATTCCCCACAGCTTGGTGTCATCCGTAAACTTGCTGAGGGTGTACTCTGCTATCTTCCAGCTTGTTAATGGAGATATTGAATAAAACTGGGCCCAGGACTAACCTCTGGGACACTCCACTTGATACCTGCAGCCAACTAGACATCAAGCCATTAATCACTACCTGTTGAGCCCAATGATCCATCTAGCTTTCTACCCACCTTATGGTCCATTCATCCAACTCATACTTCCTTAGCTTGCTTGCAAGAATGCTGTGGGAGACTGTATCAAAAACCTTGCTAAAGTCAAGGTATAACATGTCCACTGATTTCCCCGCATCCACAGAGCCACTCATCTTATCATAGAAAGCAATCAGATTGGTCAGGCATGACTTGCCCTTGATGACTCCATGTTGACTGTTCCCAATCACTTTCTTCTCCTCCAGTGACAAATGGATTCCTTGAGGATCTACTCAATGATTTTTCCAGGGACCGAGGTTAGGCTGACTGGTCTGTAGTTCCCTGGATCCTTCTTCCCTTTCTTAAAGATAGGCACTATATTTTCCCTTTTCCAGTCATCTGGGACCTCCCCCAATTGCCATGAGTTTTCAAAGATAATGGCCAGCAGCTCTACAATCGCATCAGCCAACTCTCTCAGCATCCTTGAATGCATAGTGTCTAGCCCCATGGACTTGTACATGCCAAGCTTTTGTAAATAGTCCCTAACCTGTTCTTTCACCACTGGGGGCTGCTCACCTCCTCCCCAAATTGTGCTGCCCGACGCAGTAGTCTGTGAACTGACCTTGCCTGTGAAGACTGAGGTACAAAAGACACTGAGTAGTTCAGCCTTGTCCTCTTCATCTGTCACTAGGCTGCCTCCCCCATTCCATAAGGGACCTACACTTTCCCTGACTTTCCTCTTGTAGCTAACATACTTGTAGAAACCCTTCGTGTTACCCTTCATGTCCCTTGCTAGCTGCAACTCTAATTGCTCTTTGGCCTTCCTTTCTCTGCTTCTATTTAAAATCTCCTCCTAGTATTTCCCTTCACTGCTTTTTAGCCCCCATAATTTAATTTTTTTCTTAAATATCTATTTTAAAGACTAGATAAAGACTTCAAAAAAAAAAAAAAGGATTTGAGACTATTACTAAACATCTGCTTCAGAAGTATTCACACATCTTTATTATGTCCCCTAAGGATTTGTACAAGCTAAATTTCATTGTATAAACATAAATAATATAAAAATTGTTGTTGTAAGCTGAGAGCTCATCAGCTGGAAGCAATATAGGAAGAGAAAGACCTGGCTGTATTAGTTGATCATGGGATGGCCATAAGCCAGCAAACTAGTGTTGCTGTAAAAAAGGCAAAAGCAATCTTACAAAGAGGTAAAGTACTTCCAGTAGGGACAGGGAAGTATTAACGCCACTGTATAAATGCATGTAAGACTTCATCTGGGACACTGTGTACAGTTCTGAATTCATTTTGGGTGACCCCAAACTGGAGTAGGTACAGTAAAGAGCTGTGTGGATGATCAGAGAATAGAGATCCTATCTGTTGAGAGGTGGCAGATTTAGCTTGTTTAACCAAGCAAGATGAAGGGTGAGAGGGGATAGGACTGGTCTTTATAAATACATCATAGTGCCAAATGGGAAAGAGAGAAGGACTAAGCTAAAGGAAACTACTGGCACACAAATAAATAGATATAACATTCTTCTACCAGGAGTAAGATGCAAAAAAACCTACCCAGTTTTAAGATGAACCATGATCAGTTTATGAAAGGGATTATGATGTGGCTGCCTTTAATAACAGGGGAATAGACCAATGACCTAGAAAGCACCTTTCAGGCCCATGTTCCTATGAAAAAGTATTCACACAAGAATATTCATACAAATAGTATTTATACAGAAATGTTTCCACAGCCATCTTGGAAACACAAACACCATTGTGCGCCAATCCAAATAGCGGTTACTCAACAGCACAGTTGTGGCTAACAGTTTGCCAGAAATCCACCAGATGAAGTGGGTTGACATGCATCACATCAGTATTAAAACTGACACAATCTAACAAATAATGAGTTTGTCAACAGATGATATGCAAATAGTTTGGTCAGCTCCAGCATATGGAACATCACTGTGCATATTTCAAATCTCTTTTCCACCAGATGATTATCTACATGTGCCGGAGGACCCATTTTCTCCCCGCTCAGAGCAGCCAGTTTCCAAAAGGAATAACCGTAAGAAAGAAGACAGGAATAACTCAGGAATATTTTCGCCTACTGGGGATTCAAGCGTCATCAGGCAAAGTGACAAAGTGGATCAAAAAGTAGGTGTTGTAATAACCTGAATTATGTTATATTGCACAAAAATCATATATATTTCAAAAAAATTAAAATTTCATCCAGCAGTTGGTTTAAAGTCACCCTGCTGCCATCTTGTCCATATGTTTTACTCCTAGTATTTGTCTGTTCTCAGATAATGTGACTAGGATGTGTGTAAGCACAGAAGAGCTTGCTTTAATTTTGTTATCTTGGCAGCAAGAGCAGCAAAGGGTTCAGATGGGCACTGATTTGCTGCTGCATGCATGCTCAGTCTCCTGGCTGGGATAGCTTGGCTAGGTCAACACATACTCCTGGCTGCAGGACAGGAATAACCATCATTACAAATCCACTTGGAAAGGCTCCACAGCAAATGCACAGTGCTGTGTATCCATGCTTCATTCTCTTTGATCTCCTCATATTGCTTACAAACAGAACGACCCTACATTTTTCACACATAGTTATAAACACTCCCTTGCAGAATGTACATAAAATAACTTACTGTGAACAAAGTCAACCAGGCAATGCATAACAATGCATCTATAAAACACAGACCTTTAGCATTACCTGTCAATCATCCCACACATCGCCAAAGATTTTCTGTTTGTTGCTACTACAACAAAAGAGAAAGCAAATTTAATCACAGTTATAAAACCAAAGGATCACATTTATGTCTGTGCAACTCAGCTGATCTCAGGAGAGTTATATCAGAGATAAATCTCTGTCATATTGATACACCCAACCAAACTGTTATTTTATTCTCTAGAAAAGGGATGAAATTGCCCACGTTCAAAATTTTTATTGTAAAATTTGCATTTCTTATTTTTCTCCATCTGTTGCAGGATGCTTCTAGGCTAATTAAAGGGCACTCAAGAGTAAATCTCTCTCTTCAGAAGACCAGTGCAACTCTGGGGCCACCTGTGGCACGACACACCTGCTCATCGACTCCAAACACAGCCATGCAGCAAGCCAACGACTTGAACATTTGCTGCTTAGTGACTCAACCTCTCATGCTTCAGCAATCAGCTCCAGCGCAGTCACAGTCAAATGCTATTTCTGACCCAGTGGGGTCCTCCTTTTGGTCTTTTCCTTTTGACTTTATAGGTACAGGGAAATGCCATCAGCATGACATTGTGGGCTCAGAGGTTACCAGTCCTGTTTTCTTATGGTCACAAGCAGATCAGAAAAATATACTTAATGGAGAGTCACAAGCTCAAAGATTTGCTCCATTAGACCTATTGGTCCAGAGCTCTGAAAAGGGGGAACATTTGGTAGAAGAAAATGAATATGCATCTCCAAAAGAGAAACTTACTCCCAGTTCCAAAACCACGTGTTCAGCTTTGTTGGGATCAAACAAGCCTTGTGAGACAATCACAAGAACTACTTTGCCTAGTATAGTACCTACACAGGGCACAAACTCTTCTCATAGCAGCCCTAATAAATGTCCAGACAAGAGTCAAGCCTACCTGCAACCAGATGATCACCATGACGTTGAGACTAGTGCTTTAAAGGAGCCCTCATTTCCCTTCAGTACCACAGAGGCCACTACTACCTCTGCAGCACCTTCCAAGGCATACAAAAAGAGAAGTTTAGAGATGATGAGGAAGCAAACCAGAGTTGAATATGATGACACAAGCAGTGATGATGAAGACAGGCTAGTTATAGAAATATAGCAAGATAAGTTTCTGTGGTATATAGTGGATGCCTGTATAATGGGTACATTAGGGAGGGAAATGAAGTTTGCACATAATCTATCTGCCTTTCTGAAGCACCTTAAAATTAGAAAAGCCATTCCTGCACATAATAGGCATAATTCTCTCCTAAACACAGTTCTTCTTTACAAGGACTCAGGCTCTTTTATACATTTTAATTATTTTGTAAGGAGCAAAGAGGCAGTTCAATTACATATTTAAATGCACAAGGAAAATGTACTGTACCTTGGCTCTCAACTAGATCAATCCTCCTTATAAATCCCACATAATATCTGCAGCTCCTAGCTGCCACTGAGTATTATAAAGACACTGCCGTGTATTTATTTACTAACAGGGATACAACAGCAACCACCTTCTTTAACATGTAAGCTGAGAATTTACTGGAAAAGACATGGGGATATATTTTCATCCCAGTGCTCCTCTCTTCAGTAATCATTTCCACCTTTACTGGGCTTTATAGACATACTAGAGAGGAAGACATATTCCCCAAATGCCTATGTTACTGGGAGAGGCCAGACAAATACTGCTGTTTTTCCATGCCGCACAAATGGTAAATGCTTCTTTGTGATAAAATGACACAAGCATGCACTGTTTTGTGTTTTGTGCCTTTTCTGCTGAGATCTACTCAACTGTTTTATTCTTCTGCTCTACTTGGAAAAACTGGGTTTTAATAATTATTGTTTCTTTGTAATAAGGTTTTTAACCCAGAGATTTTCTCTGACTCTGTTTAAGTAATTTTTATGATGCATAATCTGATAGAATTATTCCTTTTAACCTACTCTGAAGTTTAACTTAATTGAAAACAGGTGACTTTTCTCAAAAAACTCTGATCATGTAAAATTGGTGAAAACTGACATGGCATCTATTTTAGGGAGGTTTTGACACCAACCTGTTTTCATGCCTGCCATGTAAAGCAACTCATGTTGTAAAACCCAACCCAATATTCACTGGATTCCACTTACACAATCAGTTAAAACAGCATTTGACCAAACTTATACACTTATACAGCATAGTTTAAACTGACAGAGAAACTTTGAAACCAGTGCACTGTTATACTACAGTGAGATTTTATACTTCACTTTGCTATGACTTTTGTATGATTTTGAATCTTATATACAGGGTCTTATGGATTAACTTACATGTGATATTCATAATTACTTGTATTTAGAGTAATCACACACAGGTTAGCTGATATAGGTCCTAGTCATATTTTGGCCTAGTGTACTATGTGCGTATGTCAAAGAAATAAATGCACATTGTGAGAAGTGAATAGAAGTGCCAGAATGCCAGTCCTTCTGTTGACATGTGTAAATGGGACCAATTGCTAAGCTCTAAGCTGTCCCTTTACATTAATTTGCATAACACAAGTGATCATAGTTGCAGTTCTCCATGCAGAAAGCTTTTTATATTTAGCATCAAATTATGCTTGTGTAAATGTTTAATGTTAGGGAAGCAGATATCATGATCAGAGTGTTACACTAACTTCTAATTTATTCATACTAGTGTGGACAAAGATTGGAGTTAGCTGGATTTTTTTCCTACTTCAGGATATAGATAAGGAATAATTCATAAACTGTATATTTCTCCCTTATAAATATATCAAAGTATTCTTGTCCAAAACCATAGAGCTTTCAGTAGTGTTACTGTACAGCTTTGGATCTTGATTATGTTGAAGAATACTGGAATACTGGTTTAATGAGGTTCATACTTGTGATCTCCCTTTTCTACTTCTGTGAATCCCTGGGTCCCAGTTTTGGTCTCACTTATTAGATTTTGGTTTCATAACTTTGGTGTAAATGCCACAATCTTTATTCCTGATTCATAGGAGTGTGAGTAAAATCAGAATTAAGCCCATTAAGCTTTCAGGTCAGTGACCCTGTGAGTACTGGAGCTCACAACTGTCATTACAATTTATGACAATTTTTTGTTAATGTCATTGGGATTTCTGTGTCTAGAACATTGGCAGGATATGGCAAAATAGTGACTTATGCTGAGAAGCTTTATGCAACAGAACAAAAAATGTGGATATGTAGTTTCTGTTTTAGGAGGCTAAGAAGAATCAAAGGCATCAACATTGATGGATGGCAATGCCCTAAAAATGACATATTTTTGTTGAATAAGCAAATTTATAATACTTAAATACTGTTTTATTGAATGTTGATAAGACTGATGCAATTGACTTATTTGTGCATTATTAGATTGTTCTCTTCTTTATATTGCTAAATTATTTTGTTTTGATAAAAATAAACCTTGAAGGTCACAATGACAGTCAGATTTTGCCCATTATTAAGGACTGGTTTCCAAAAATGCAAATATGCTATGGGGTGCAGGTGGGAGGTTCAGGCAATGTAGGATAGTGGCCAAGTTGAGTACAACCCACAAATGTTTTAGCAATCACATCTTTCCCTTAATTACATAAAAGACAAAACCAATCTCCTGTATATTTCTATTGCTAGTGAATATGTGCAGCAACAATTTCTATTTCCCTATGGAAAAAATATTTACAAGCAGATATCATGGTTATGAGAATTTTTAAAATTGCATATAAAATGTATTGTCTAACAGGAATAAACTTCTAGTCTATAGAATTGAGCCAGACATACTAGTGGTAAATTTGTTAACAGTGAGCGTGTCTACATGTGCACCTGACTGTGCAGTTGTTAGAGTGTAGTCCTGACGCAGTACGGGTCATTTCCAACACTCCTGTGCAGTAGCAACGAGCTTGTTGCTACTGTGCAGTAGTGGCAGTGTCACTGCTTGTGTCTGCTGATGATACATCGCCATAGTGACGAGCTACATTGTCATGGGGCAGGCAGGGCAGCCATGGGGGGGGGACTGGGACAGTGGGGGGGAGTCAGGGGGCTCATGCAGAGCCCCCCCCATGCAGTGTGGGGCAGTGGGGGGGCAGCAGGGGTGGGGGTCGCCCCCCACCTGGCAGCACCTGGTGAGTGAGGCTTTTTTCTAAAGCACCGGGAGCTGGGGTGGGCAGGACAGCCTTGGTGGGGCTGGGGGAGTGGGCAGGGGTCAGGGGGGGCTGGGGGAACAGGCAGAGGATGGGGCCTGGCAGGGGATCCCCCATGGTCCCCTCCCCACTCCTCCAGCCCCCCTCCCTCACCCCCTACTTACCAGCTCTGAGTCCAGCTGCAGCTCCCTGCTGTAGCCACTGGGGACTGCCCAAATCACCGAACCTCTCCAAATATTTTCCAAATCAATTTGGAAAGCTTCAAATCGATTCGGACCTTTTTATTGGTCCACTGATTCGATTCGGATTTAGAGATTTGGCCACCGAATCGGGCCAAATCTCCTTCGAATTGGACCACCCAAAGCGTTGCACAGCCCTGATGAATAGCAACTGAAAACAGTACTGGTGCAGTGAAGAACATTAAGAATGTGTTTAACTTCCATGTACTTAAGTGAGACTGAAGCAAGCATTTAAAGTTACGCGCATGCTTAAGTGCTGTCTGGATTAAATGCTTCCATGACAGGCTGTATTGGGATAATCTTGCCAAAACCCATCAGGCAAATCTCTTTAAAGTTACTGAATGTAGTGAGAAAAACACAAAACACTTAACGTTTAGACATTTGAATGGATAGTTTGTAAAACAGTGATTAAAAAAGAAAGGTAGGTCACAGCCAGACAGCTCAAAGCCAGCTTGCTATCTGGTTTTGAAAAAAAAAGATTTATTTTTTCCATTAAACAAAGTTACTGCAGAAATAAACCTACAGTTTAGGAAGCAACCTTTGCATGAAAAGCCAAACACCGATCAAAATCTTTTTCTTTAACCTGTCACTATCTATCCCTTAGTGTCAGGATTAAAAATACATTATAATGTCAAGTGTCCAGATGACAACTTATTCTTAAAACTAGGATAAAGTTTAAGAATTTCTTGCATGAATTACAGCATTTCAAATACTCTAGACTGTTTTTACTGATCTAAACTGGATTCCCAAATATTAATGACTTCTGGGAAACCATTGTGTTATTTGAGACAATGCTGGGAGGGAGAAAAATCTTTGGTGTGCAAACAGAATCTTCTTCAAAATGATTTGTTCCCAGTCTGTTACTGTTGTGGTTCAGAGCTTTGTGCTAACATCTTCATTAGATGACATGATTAAAAGAAAGTTCATTTCAATTCCACTTCCACTTTAATTTCCACTACTTTCACCCTCCTCACAATATGCCAATATTATTGGCAACAAGAACTTCTATTTCAACTTCTATCAGAATGGCTCCTGGCCATTACATATGAAAACCTGACATGAGGCTTTGTAGAAACATATGTGTAGCTCTTCAAAGATGCAATGGAAAATCCAGAACTCACCTCCTTTATTTGTTCCAGTCATAGAGAAAAGCCCTGCCAAGATTTCTGAGGGGCACCTGTCTGCATTCTTAAGAAAGTAAGGAGAAAAGATAACCAACCCCTTAGACTGGACTGGGAACTTCCAGAGCAGCTGTGGTCCAGCTGTTGGTGATGTAAGAAGCTTTTAAAAAATAAAATCAGTTATTTTGATGTAGAGAGTCTGTGATACAAATATTTTAATCATATTTTTGTTGTTAAGTATTCAGTTTCAAAGTGTAATTTTAGATCCTTCACTTACAAACATTCCAATAACCGTGAGTTATGGATGCTGTTCAGAGCCAAGCTGCGCTATCTTTATTTTACGTTTTATAAATGCAGTTTATTTGCTGTACTACAGCTTCCTCTGTTTAGCTGAAACAGAAAAATGATGATTTTAAATGAGAGAAGAAAATGTACTTAGGCAGTGGATTTGGTGTCAAGTCTCATGCCAAAACTTAGAAATGGACATTGAAACAAGGGTCCTTTACAAGTATAACTTATATACAACTTTTATAATATCATGTTCATTTAATTGCACTTCATCAGCCATGCAACCTTCACTCCACGGAGTTCACAGGGCTACTAAATCTCACCCCTTTTCTCATGCTGCAGTTCTAAAAAAAATCAGTGTAGCTTATCTTTAATAAAGACAAAGGGTTAATTCACTATTTCCCAGGGGTCTCGGATTACCTGGTCATAATTCTGGGACTCTTGATCTCCATTCTCATAAGAACTGACTGATCAAAGAGTTCCTGTCCTTTGAGAATAGTGTTGCAAATGACACATTCAGCTATTATTGTTCAAAGGGTCTGATACCAACATCATTTAATGCTATATACCAAGAGCATGTACACTTGAAGTTGGCCTAAGATAAAACTCATGCAACACCCTGCAAGCTTCCAGACTTGTGGGCCAGCTCTTAGTTGAGAGAGGCAGCCTTGTGGGGCCTCAGTCCAACCAGAATTTAAAGTATGGATCAATGCTGGGAATCACAGGACTTCCAAGCTTCCGGCTGCAGAGGTAAGAGCCAGTGTTCAAGGTGGGGTCCCTGCTCTGCCAAAAGGGGACTAGGAAATCTAATAAGAACATATTGTTCAGTGAGGGCCATCAAGGCTTGCAGGGGCCCTACTGTGGAGCTGGGAAGCTAGAGCCTCTAAGGCGCACAGCTCATTCTGTTAAGACTATTAGGAACCTGACAACCTAGAAACACTGGGAACAATAGCTGAGCTGGGAAATCTTTTTTAAGTATTTTTTTTTAAATTTTCCCTTCCACTGACCTTTTTAAAATTCAAATTTTTGTTCTGCAGCTGAATGAGGCTTTTCTCTGAATTCAGTCATTTCTTGCAGAAGAGTTATTCCACCTTTCCAGATCAAAACTAGGCTATTTCGATATGCCACAACAATAGAAGTGATGGCAAGATGAGACCCACAAAACAAAAAGGTTTTATCTGTTTCTTGACTATTGAAGGCTTTTGACACATTCCAACCTCCTCCTAAGCAAACAACGAAGGTGTGGTCCAGAAGAGTTCATTATGGGATGGATGAGTCAAAAAGGAACGGCCATTGGTTCACCAGCAAACTAGGGGGGCATATCAAACAGCATCCTACAGTGATTTATCCTGACTCTATTCCATTCTATATTTTCATGACCGGTGTGGATGATAGAATAGCATGTCATCATCGAATTTGCAAATAAGGTGAGAGGGATTGCAGGTACCTGGAAGACAGGATGAGACTTCAGAATGATGATCAGTTGGTGAAGTGGTCTGGAAACAATAAGATGATATTCAATAATGACAACTGCAGAGTAATCCACTCAAGGAGGAATACTCTAATACACAAATACAAAATAGGGAATATCTAACTGCATTTGTACTGCAGAAAAAGATTAGGGAAAGTTAAGGCAGGATGCAAAATGAATGAGTCAATAATGTGTTGTAATTACAATAAAGGCAAGCATAATTCTGGGATTTATTAACAGGGATGTCATAGGAAGTAATTATTTCAGATTCAGCTAGAGTACTGCATACAGCTTTCAGCACTACATTTTAGGAAAAATCAAGGCAAATTTGACAGAGTCCTGAGGAGACCAACGAAAACTAATAAGACATTAAGAATACATCACACTGAGAAAAGTTTGTGAAAAAAAATGGTTTGCTTACTCTAGAAAAAGAGAAGGCTGAGTGGGAACCTATTAGTCTTCAAACATGTACGATACAAGGAGGACAGTGATAAATATTTTTTCTAGTCCTGTGAGAAGTTAACATCTTATTTTGCAGCAAGAGACTAATTGCATGGGTAGTTAAGCACTACAATAATTTAAAATCATGTTAGATAAACATATGCTGGGATGTTCAAGGTATATTAGCTCATGCCTCAGTCACAGAGATGGATTTCAATGACCTCTTGAGGTCCATTCCTGTTAATTTCTATGATTCTAAGTTTTTTGTGGCTCTTACTGGATCACCATGTGCCTAGAAGGCATTGAGAAAATGAGGACATTGTTACTAACATGCCCTGCATTGTTCCGCTTTACCATGCTGAAAGTGTTTTTTGTGTTTTGCATCTGTTTGTGGCATCTCCTAATGCCTGTGAAAGCTCCTAGGCATCTCCTAATGCCCCTAATGCTCCTCACATGCCCCTGAAAGCTCCTAAGCAGAGAGAAGCAGCCAGTTTGGACAGTTATTGTTAGTACTCACCACAATATTTTCATAGTGTGGTTTCATCTTTGCTCCTAAGCCTTACTTGCACATCAGGTTATATTTCAGGTAGTAAGAAAACTGCTTTGAGAGACAGAGGAAGGGATATTAGCAGTGGGATGTATAGTCTTTCACCAGGGCTTGAGTGAGAGACTATCTCTTTTACTGGCCAAAAGCTGTTACTAGCTCATAAATGGCTAGTAAATGGCTCGTGAGAAAATGGCTTATGAACTCAGGCTGGTTTTTAATAATAGCCTGTAAAACTAGCCTGAGAAATTCTGTTTAAGAAAGA